CCCCTGTCCTAAACTAAATGTGTGTACAAAGCTATTCCTATTATCATTCTCTAAGTTGCAGACATTTGTTATACATACTTTTTAAAATGTTTGAAATGTTTCAAAATTACAATAATGAAAAAACATATCAGAAGAATATTTGTTTTATTTGGAAGGAAAAAAAGTAGTGGGTAGAAGACCTAGGCTCCGAATAGACAAATAAGGATAAGTTGAATGAAAATAAAATACAATGTCTATGACTTTTTTAACAGTTTAGCCTATTTTCCAAATAATAATCATAATATAGTCTAGTTCTCTCAGGATTATATAATCAAGTTGCTATTTTCCATGATAATTTAATTTATTTCAGAACACACTGTGTATTTCTACAGGGAGGACACAAAGAACAAATTTTTGTTTTGTTTTTCTCTTTAGTCACTCTTGAGATATGAAAACATTTTGCAGTCTCTTTTGATGAGTATCACAAGAGAAAGACAGTGGCCTTAGCTGAGAAAGCTCATTGTAATTCAGGCCAATTAAATGGCCAATTAATAATCACTGTTTATGTCTTCATAAACAATGAGAAAGTTGAGAAAACTAATCAGAAAATATTGCCACAGATTCCAGTAAGGCTTTTAAGCTATTAACAGTGAGATTTAAAGTCTCTAATAAGGAGTTGTTTTTCCACTTTGCTTAGACTTTGCCAGCCTGGTTGCTTTTACTAAAATACTTTCTAATACTTTCTCTTTCTCACAGAGACAATTACTACAGCTTGCGTAGTAAAATGAAGTTCATGGACTTTAATTGTATTCTTCCCCTGGTGTTTCCAGAGATTGCTCTCTGTTCAGTAATTATCTAATACTGTTAACTAACCAAAGTAAGCACTTAAGTTAGTGTTAGATCCATTACTATTCTAGCCTGTTTTGAGTGCAAATAAATTCAAGGAATGTCTGGTCTTTAAATTAAAATCTAATTTGCATATAAAAACATTAAAATATTGTTGCAAAAACTCTAACTTGGTCACAGATCTCATTTCAATATATACTTTTTTAACAAGTAATAATAATTGGTTGATACTCAGGAAATAGAGTTAAATAAAAGCATTCCTATAAAACACTTTTTTCTAAGAAAAATAGACATGTTCACAATAAACACACTCATTAAGAAAATACATATATAAAAACTAAATGAAATTCTTTCAGTAGACCACAATTTCTGGGCAAAATAAAAGTGGGGATTTAACTTCCTTGTTCTCTTGATGCTTAACCCCTATACAACGCTCCAAATTTCAGAAATATTTCTGACATAGGATCAGTTGGTACATTTCACAGTGCTATTAGGAGGCAGTCATGTTGAAATTCCTATTCATCAAGGAGTCATAAATAGGGAGGAAAAATGAGTTCAAAACGCCAAATTCCAGATGAATGTTGTGCCTTCTCTGTTTCTTAAACACTGTGCTGTTTTTGGTCAGGCATTTCTTTAATTTTCTTTCTTTGAGGATTACCGGTACTTACTAAGCTTTTATGTTTTCTTCCTTATATAACCGATGTGAAGCATACGAGTGGCTGTTAGGATAACTATACTATCTTGGTGCATGAAACAGTTTTCTTCTATATGAAACTAACTTGTCATGGTTTTATTACGGGATACTTCAAATGCTTTATTAGATCCATTTTTCATCTTTGATTCATTCCTTTTTAGTGATTACCACTAAGACTACAAGTTTTAAGCTTGATGATTTCCAAAGTCTACACTGTCAACCCAATAGTGGAAGAAAATCTAGATTGATTGATTTAGAGACAGAGTCTCTGTGACCCAGGCTAGAGTTAGATTTAATTCTTCAGAAGCCTAACTATGGATGTTCCATGTTAAATCATTAGATCTTAAACCATTAATATCCTAATACCTTAAACCAAGCTCTTTATCTGTCTAGTAACTTTTCCTCTGCCAAATTTGTTCTATTGAAGGACAGAATACCTCTATTTCAGGATAATATAGAAAAATGTCAGTACCTATGCAACATGGTTATTCTAGAACATTGGGTAGAGCTTGAGGGAGGGAGGAAGGATTTCTCCTTGTCTACTCGCATGTTACTAAAGGTTATACCACCAGAAGAGTAACATGAGGATGAAGAACATGAAACTATCAGAACTTTTCTGAACATAATTGAAAATTCTTTCCCAGAAAACCATATTTATTCAAAAGTAAAGTCAAAAGTCAAATGCCAAAACTGTGAATTGACTATTTAACTTTAAAAAGCAATATTTTTTTTATGGACATATAAGTCACCCAAGAGGTGAATAGCTCTCAGTTCTAATAAAGTTTCTCATATTCTCTGATTAATTGTTCTAAGAGAAATATTCAAATTACAGGAGTTTAAGAAAAAAAGAGAGAGAAAAAGCCACAAAGCGTATTTAAAGAAATAATAGCAGCAAACTTTTCAAATCTAAAGAAATAGACAAGTATCCAGGTAGATGAAGGCTAAGAGTCTCCAGTGAAACTTAATTCAAATAAGACTACACCAAGACCTATAAAAATCGATAGTCAAAAACCAAAGACAGAAAAGAGATCCTGAAGACAGCAAGAGAAAAGGAGCATATTACATGTAAGGGACTTTTAATAAGGCTAGCAGTGGATTTCTTTCAGCTTTTGTTTGTCTGGAAAAGACTTTATCTCTCCGTTTTTGAAGGACATGTTTGCTGGTTAAAGTATTCTTGGTTGACAGCTCTCCCACCCCTACTCTTTAGTACTTTGAATATATCATCCCCCCTCTCTCTTGGCCTGCCAGATTTCTGCTAAGAAACCCAGAAAGTGTGGGGTGTATGCATATATGCATACACACACACACACGCACACACACACACGGAGTACTACTCAGCCATAAAAAGGAATGAAATAATGTCTTTTGCAGCACTTTGGATGGAACTGGAGGCCATTATCCTAAGTCAGGCATCTTAGGAATGGAAAAACAAATACCATATCTTTTCCCTTATGGGAGCTGAACAGGAGCTAAATGAAAGATATACAGGGTCAGAAAGAACAGTAATGGACATTGGAAACTAAGAAGTGGGGAGGGGAAGGAGACGAGGGATAAAAATCTACCTATTGAGGACAATGACAACTATTCTGGTGACAGTAACACTGAAAACTCTGAGTTCAGCATGATGCAATTTATCCATGTAACAAAAAACACATGCGCCCCCTACATTTTTTGAAATAAAAAGAGTATTTTCTTCAAAATTATAGTTAAATTAACATGTGCATATGTTAACAAATAGTATATCTCACTTAATGTACATTATATAATTCTATACATATACACATTTGTATGTACACACTGATATATACCTATACACCCATACAACCTTTGTGGGTCTCTCTTCGCCTGTGACGTGACTGAGCCTTTGTTAAATTTTGATATTGTGTTATTCTGTCCGAGGTTATGCCACTTAAGAAGCCATTAGTGACCTTCGAATATTGTATGAGCAGTGGGGGGTAGCAATTTATTTTTCTACTGAGAATAAGTTGAAATAGCTGGATTTCAGCTGGTCAGTTTCATTTAGCATTATGAGGAACTTTAAAATTCATATTGTTCCTTAGCATGAAATTAGGAACACACTGTCCTTTTAGGGTTTCAGGAGAGGAACCAACCTCTCAGAGAACCATTTGAAGCACGTGGCCTCTTTTTAGGTGTATGGTTTTAAAATTTAAATAATACTAATATTTATATTAATTAAAATGAATAGTAAATACTAAAACATAAGGGAGAAAATAAGAAAAGATTAGATAGTACACAACTGTGATCTCTTAATCCCTTTGTAACAGTTTCCAAATGAAGTATTTGGGTCACAGTCAAGGGGTGTTCCATTCAGTAGCTTATTAAAAACAGAATTCACCAACCCACATAGACTTTGAAGATTTTTAAAAAATGAATTTGTTTTACTGGCTTCCATCATGTTGTATCACAGTGGCCATAAGGTCTTAGGATTGGGGGGAAGCTTTTATTTTGAAGTCATATCCAAGTTTCACCTTTGCAAGGTAAACAGCTTAATAACACAAGATCAAAAATGATGACAAGAGCTTAACAATCTTCGGTTCCTTTGTAATTCTAAGTTGTGTCCTATTATTTTTGTTCATATGTTTGTTAAACTTATTTATGCACAAAAAGAATTTAGTTATATATAGGATGAGATAGGCACAAGTGAAAAATTATGTGAGAATGCTAAATGAAGATTTAAAAAAGAATTATGCTCGGAATTACCTACCTAATCCAGTGTAACATATTTGGTTTTGTCTTTATTTAATAGCCATTATATTATGAAAAAGTTATGCAGTCAATTGGTCATAACCTAGAAGTGCTACCAGTAACCCTGCTATGTTACTCAAAATAATCTGAAAAAAAATAATAGGGATAACAATCCAAGCCTCCTGAAGCCAAGGCCAATACCTTGTACATTCCCTGTAAAAACTGTTTTTTTACGAACATCTGTATTTACAAGTGTATGAACATTTCATGTAAGTAAATACTATGCTTGTTTGAGGTTATAGAAAGGTCTTGGGCTGCTTGTCCATCTTGTATTTTAACCACAATTGTGTTTTAATTGTATTTGAAACACAATTTTCAAACCCAAGTTTGGCAGGGTGATCAGTCTAGAAATAGAGTTTCTCTTACGTAAGTCTCACTGCTACAAACTACAGCATATGCTAGAACAAGGGGGGCTGTTCTCAACAGCTATAGCTGGGATGGGCAAAACTTAAAAAAAGGCAAAAAGATTAAGTTCAATTACTCCTTGGGATATTTTGGCTCTGCCCCATTCTGAAGCTATTTGGGGGTGTGAATACATGCGTGTGGAACGATTAAGGCTTAGTTCAAGATTTTTTTTTTCCCAATGACTATTTTATTTCAAACCTACTGCACCTTAAAATTTTAGTGATTTAGGAATCTAAACTATTCAAAATTATATTTTATCAATACCACATAAAGAAACACAAACTGTGATGTTATTTCTAAGTGTTCTTACCTTCACATCTTTGACATTCATCCTTGTTCCCTCCTTTCCCACAAATATGTCATCAATGTCCACAAGGATGTACCTGTCCAAGGACAATGCCAGCCTCTTTCCTGACAGGAAGGAGATGGCATCTATGAAGATGAGTTTGTGCAACCAAAAGTTCAAGTTGTTGCCAAAAAGAACTCGCTGAATTCCATCATGAAGCCCTAGATCCTGAATCACTGTCGCCAAAAGTGTTTTGCCAGCCAAAGACGAAAGGGAATTTTCTGTCTGTAATTCAGTTAAAAGTACAGGCTGGTAGGTCGAATGATTATATTGGAAAATAGTCCAGTCTTCCCCAGGAAGAGGGCCTGTCTCAACCTTGGGGGCTTTGGTGATATGCAGCAAACGCGACTGAGGGTTGACAGAACAGTCCTTTAGAGCTAGATTATTGTAAAGGTTTAATGGAAATCCTTTCAATTGTGTACTTGGTAAGCTGTTCTCATTGGCTTTATGAAAACCGATGATACTAACACTGTATTCCACACAGTATTTTTCTAGAAGCTCTCGATTCCATGAGTCCATGCTGACATACTTCAGAATATTTTCATAAATAACTAAAGTATATTTCCCTTTGCCGTTATCTGTAAGAGGAGGTATGTCTCCCTTGCCCGGGGCAATGACCATGTGGTACCGAAATCGGCTGGACTCCAAAATAGCTACAATGTCTTGACCAAGCTGAGAGTATTGGCTCTCCACAAAGAGTAGGACAGTAGGGTCAGTTTTGGATGTATCAATAGGTTTTACTGTTTTCAGCTCCATGGACCGATATGGTAGAATTTTGACATCAGCACACTCGGCTTCTGCAGTGGTTTCAATGAGGGTCATTTCCTGTTTGTAGCCAGTATAGAGGAAGTAGGCAGAAATGACCATGCTCACCAAGCAAAAGGTAGCTAAGAGAACAATCAGTGTTCGAAAACTTCTCCGAAGCTTCACAATAAGATTCATTTTTTAAAATAATGCTTTGGAAGTGTTTTCCAATTTCTTTTTCTAAAGTGCCATAGTGAATAAAGTATGAGATGATGTAAACATAACTTCCCAAGAGTTCATGTAACCATTGCAAAGCATGTAAAATGTTTGAAGGGATCACAAATGAGTTAAAGCTGGAAGGCAATGGACCAGGAGGGCATAAGCTGAAGAGATTTTGAGTACGTCCGATACCAAGAATTGCTGCAGAATCCTCTAAGCATAATCTGAAAAAGAGGAGAAATCCAATAACTGAGGCAAAAAGGAAATAGAAATATTTATGTGTATACATATATATATATATGCTAATATCTAAAAATCAAAAATATGAGAGATAATTTTATTGTGCTAATATGCAAAAATGTTAGTAGCCTGATGTTGACAATCTGGATTGTACTACTTAGAGTATGGTAGACTTTTTGAGGACCTCTAGAATACAGAATTCTATTTGATTTTGCCCAAACATCCATATATACAGGAACACATATTGAGATCATTTCTCAGCTAGTCACCTAGGGGAAAAAAAAGTCATAAAAAGTATGCTTTAGCGTAGAATGTTAATTACCATAAAAATAACTTCGACAGAACTGGCAAACTGTAGATTCACATAGAATTAGAAAATCAAGTATTTGTGTGGGGCTTGGAGCAGTGGAAGATGCTCTTAAGTATGTGCTTAATCTCTGGAGTGCCAAGCTGAGTGATTAATTTGGTTAAATTTACAGTAGTTATAGGTTCTTCCCTTTAATAATATATCCTGCATCTGGAACAACAAAGAGCCACTTGGCTCTCTTCCAAGTAACAATCTGTATAGACTAGATTGTCCCTTCTTCCTTCTTAGAGGCAAGATTAGAAAGAAGCTATGGATTTCCATTTCTAATTTTTATACAACAACCAAACATTCTATTTCCCTATCACTTTCTTTAGTTCTAAAGAAAAAACGTAGAAAGCATTAAAAAAGATCTTTCCCAAACTGTTTCATCACAATTAAGACATCATTTTTCATTATTCTTAGGTGGTTTTCTTTGTAGAGATGTTTCTAACTTTTAGTGAATTACTGTCTGTATAATTTTTTTCATTCCCCTCACAACTGTGTTAGAATACTTAAAAAAATTTCCATTTCCCAGTTTGCCAAACTAGTGTCCATAGGAAAACATCCAAAATCATTCATGCTTAAAATTTGTGATATGTAAGATGTGTATTGTTGATACATTACATCATGGAGAATTAAATTAGCATGTTTTGTAATGAGTAATACAAAATGAGTGATATTCTGTCACACTGTAGACATTTTATGAGTTTCTGTATTTTATATTTTCAATTTGAAGATCTGAATGATTAATGGTTAATGATGACAGAATTATTAGATTAAAAGATTAAACATTACAATATTATGTCACTGCTTTCATTTTATATTACTGTTTTAAAATAGTCTTTCTTACTAATTTAAACAAAACATTCTATGCTACTTGTTTTTGTTTTTGCTTTTGAAAAAATATTTTAAAAACATTCTCAAAAGTTGAAAATCTGAAATTTTGAAATTTCTACCAAATATTTTAAATATTTTAATTTTTCAGTTCCAAATATATCAACAGACTTGAATTTTTCTCTGTGAAACACATTGTACCAATGTGAACAATCTCCCCAATTTCATATTCATTTAAAAAGGAAATTAATTTCACATTAGAGACTTACTGATACTGTTTTCCAATAAAATTGTTTAAAATAATTATTTGCTCTCTGAAACCCTTACAAGTGCTTCAAAAGCCAGTTCCCTTTAAACAATTGCATTGCATTTTACTAAAAAGAAATGAAATATAGCAATAAAAAGGCATTGGTTTGCCTCAAAATATATAAACCAATTATGCTACACCTTCTGCTTTTGTGTGTGTTTGAAAATGTTCATGAATAAATTTTTAAAATAAAAATCAAAAAAATAATATGTGAAGAAAATGAAGAGGAAAAAAGAATATAAATGTATGTATTACCCATGAAATATACACTTAAAAATGGTAAAGGTCACGATTATATATGTATATTTTACCTAAATAAAAAGAAAATTGAAAAAATTTAAAAAATGTATAGTTAGTATATATGGGTATGTGTGTATATATATATATGTATAAACTATTGAAATTGAAAGAAATTTGGAATTTGTCAAAGGAGTTTATCCAGTTTTATATTATATTTATTCCTAGACTTCTCCAAGCTCATGTAATTGATTTATAAATCAATTAAAGCAAACATAGAATCAGATACATCCCACCCCCATCCCAACCCGAAGAAATGGCCCAACAAGAGCAAAAATCTATATAATCCACATCCTTTGGAGAGTTGTTTAGTGTTTTGACAGTAAATTAAATATAAATTTAATCAAGAGATTTGAATAGAAACTGAATGTATGACAAGTTAATATTTTGTCAAATCTTTATCTCTTCTGACATAAGAAATGTGATTTTTATTTTTGAATGTACAAAGGATGAGATGTCAGTTTTGCATATTAGAATAGTTCATCCTAATATGCAATAATAAAAAAAGAAATAAAAAAGCATATGGGACTAGAATCTGCCAACCCAAAGAATAAATAAAATTTAAATGTGACATTTATTTAACATTAATATGTTCAGAGTTGGAAGAATGATAGGTACATATTACCACATGGTAGATAATGTGTGTTTCAATGTGTTGTTTTAACTAAAGGATTTATCCTTCTCATTCAATCCTCACATTTCCTCTTCCCTTACAAAAATTGGCCAGTGGAGATGAGAAAGCCTGGACCATAACAGATGATATACTGTCAATGTTTACTTATGTTATACACCTGAGAGAGGAGTTGGTATGATGCCACTGTTTGGAATGTCAAAGGGATGTGGTACGTGACTTTTCTGAATTGTTTTCCTAGTGTTGTGCCCCTTAAAAGTGGGTAAAAAAAAAAAAAAGGCAAGGCAGGGGATGGGAGTAGGAAGACCAACCTACGTGAGAATCTTATGTTGTTAACATAAGTAAAATAAAACAATGAAGATTAATTTTTCGAAAAAAGCATATGGAAAAAAGGTCATATAAAATTTAAGGAGATTCGTTTCAAGATAATGGTGAAGACATTAAAAGGCTGCCCCAAAACTATGTAACATGTACAAGTGTTTTTAAGGACTCTAAGGCAATACGCTAACATTTTTATTTTACCTTAATCCCACGTCCTCTGCGGAATTAATCTGAGACCAGTCAGCAACAAAAACATATAGGAGCTTTCTTTCCCCCCTGCTTTTCCCCTTACATGGTGATGTTAGCCTTTCATTATAGGATGAACAAATAAATGGATTTCTGAGTACATTGCATCTGTGAAAAATTAATATTTCCTTCACCACCACACAAAGAAAGTTAAATAAGTGTTGGTCCCAATGCTTCTAAATCTGACTTTCACACATCCTAATAAAGCTACTGTTAAAAATTTGGAAAGGGAGATCTACTCATTATTTTTCACGACAATCTGTCTCAAAATGTGGGCTGCAAGACCTCTGCACAGAGTTTAGGAAGAAAAAACAGAGACCTTTATAGATGTTGCCTTCCTTGTTCTCTCTCCTTTTCTTATCTTTACATTCAATGCTTTCAAATGTGGATCATCGCCTCAGTAGTAGTAGAATAAATATCTCCCAGAATCTATTACTCTCTTTTAAGATTAGATAACATGAAGACATTATTGTTTTGTATATCTCTTTTCAAATCATTCGTCGATTTATTTTCAAAATGTGTTTAGGGATTCTCTAAAATATAGTTTGTAAAGTGTATTTTCCACATGTTCTAAATTATTGTAATTTTTTTTTAGCAGCAGAGTAGTAAACAGAGCAATTACAGGTGCTATTATAGTTATTCCTACTTTGGGGAAAGGTGGAAATTCAGAAGAAAGCTAGAAATAAAATCACATTGAATATATGTGCGATTCTTTCTTTGTTGAATACTATCTAATAAAGTATACAGGTAGGTCACCAAAGAGGCTCATTAAAGTTGAGCTGAAATTTAAAAATAACAATAACAATATTTCCAAGCATTTAATGAGTGGCTACTACTTGCTAGTAATTATGCTACATTCTTTGCATTCCTTGTCCTGTTTATTCATTCTTAGACTATTTTTAAAATGGGGAAATTGTGATTTAGAAGGTTTAAGAAAGGGACTAAGCTCACATTACTAATAATTTATAATGCTAGAGTTTTGTGTTCCACCAATTGCATTGTTAAGAAAAGCCAAAGATTAGTTTGAGTGAAGCCAAACACTTAGCAGGAAGGATAATTACATTATTTAACCCCATATCAGCAAACTTTACTTCAATTTTAAAAGTTTGGATAATCAAAAGCAGAAATATCTACCAAATATGGAGAAAATTGTAGAGGTGAACTGAGTCAACTAAAAGATGCTGTGTTAAGTTTGGAGGACTTAAGAATTTACAAAAATTTAATCAGCTTTGATTTTTCATGATACCTGGGAGAAAACATTTTAAGTACTTTATTTCTATATGTTTCATGAGTTTCTTGTTTTCTTGTTTAAGAAACTTATAAAGAATTAGCTCATATTTCATATTAATGTAGCAGTATTAATATTTTAATTAAAAATCAGAATGGTTAAAACAAACAAATTTAATCATTTTTTTCATATACACAAAACTGCACCAGCACACCCTCGAGGTAAATTCCAAAATTTACAACCATCTTTTAAGAAAGTTGCAGTTTTTTCCAAATTACAAGTCCCCACCACATAAATGAACATGAACATGTATGTGTGTGAGTTTGGATCCCACTGTAACATTATTTCTTATTCCAGGTCATGGTCAAAAGTGTTTGAGCTGAAACACTACTCAGGAAGGCAGAGCTAATTCAAATTATTTAATCTGGTTCTAAGAGAAATGGTTCTATGACAAATATCACAGAGGTTTTAGCTAAAGATCAATTCAGTCTCTTATGATTCTGAGTGGTTTCTGAAAATATCCAATATTGATTCAATGAGGTTGAGACTAGGAATTGATTGATATCACATGGTTTGGTCCCTTGGAGTTCCTTTCAGTTTTAGCCATAAAATATTGTGATATTATTTTCAGCGGCAACCATACCTACATAAATCACAACTCTTTTTACCGCAAATGAAGGTGCTAAGTAATGAGTAATTGTTATATTTAATCAAAATCAAAGTAGTATTCTTATTTTATGAGTTTCTGCAAAAATGATTCTTTCTTCCCCTGTA